TTTTTGAGACGGAGTCTCGCTCTGTCGCCCAGGCTGGAGTGCAGTGGCGCAATCTCGGCTCACTGCAAGCTCCGCCTCCCGGGTTCACGCCATTCTCCTACCTCAGCCTCCCCAGTAGCTGGGACTACAGGCGCCCGCCACTGCGCCCGGCTAATTTTTTTTCTATTTTTTAGTAGAGACGGGGTTTCACCATGGTCTCGATCTCCTGACCTTGTGATCCACCCGCCTCGGCCTCCCAAAGTGCTGGGATTACAGGCGTGAGCCACCGCGCCCGGCCCACAGACGGGGTTTCAACCGTGTTGGCTAGGCTGGTCTCGAACTCCTGACCTGAAGTGATCCACCCACCTTGGCCTTCCAAAGTGCTGGGATTACAGGAGTGAGCCACTGCGCCTGGCCTCCCTACGAGGTTCTATTACTCACGAAAAGTGAAGAATTACAGGTGAATGTTGATAGGTATGCAAAAGATGCTCTGACCTCATTGATACTCTTTAAGCTTTAAAGTTTAACAGTTAAGAGCACAGATTTGGAGTCAGACACACCCAGGTCCAGATACATTACTTGCCTCTATACATCCACTGTCCAGAGGCCGGGTGAGGTGGCTCATGTCTGTAATCCTAGCACTTTGGGAGTCCAAGATGGGCGGATTGCCTGAGCTCAGGAGTTCGAGACCAGCCTGGGCAACATGGTGAAACCCCCCTCTCTACTAAAATACAAAAAAAAAAAAAAATCAGTGGAGCGTGGTGGCGGGCGCCTATAATCCCAGCTACGGGGGACGCTGAGGCACGAGAATCGCTTGAACCTGGGAGGTGGAGGTTGCAGTGAGCGGAGACCGTGCCGTCTCAAAAAAAAAATCCACTGTCCAGAAGGGATGTGCCTTGGTCTCTGGACCTACCAACACAGTGCGCCTGGCACCACCTGGAGGGCTTGTTCAAACATCGGAAGGAGCCCCATCCCCAGGGGTTCTGAGTCAGTAGGTGTGGAATGGGGGCCGAGAACCTGCCACCCTATCCAGTTCCCAGGCGATGCGGCCGCTGCTGCTCTGGAAGCTCATTTTGTGAAGCACTGACGCAGCACATGGTGAGGACGCTGTACGTGAACACTCAGATATCCTGACACCTAACCCAATTCTTGTATTTGCCGCTCAGGAGTCCCCGGTTGAGTCCACCTTGCTATACGGCTTCAGAAATTCATTTCCTCTTTTGGGGTCTCAGGGCTCTCGTGTGCCAAAAGAGTGTGCTGGGCAAGATGAGATGCTTAGTTATTACAGAAGAGTTAACATCTTGAACAAAGCCCTACAGAACTTGCAGGGTTAGGGGAGAAAATAAACGGGCTAAATCCTGCGGGGCAGCTTGGGGCTACCCTGGAGCAAGGTCTGGGCTCAGCCGGCGTGTAGGTCGCCAGGAAAGGTAGAGCCGCTCCTGCCCCACTGGCTGCTCGAGGGGCAGCTGTGGCCGACTGGGCGACGCTGACGTCCAGCCTCGGTGTTCCCTTACCTCCTCGGTCTCCACAGCGCCTCCTGGCGCCCATGTCACCGTTCTACCAAGATTGTCCCTTCCCTCACACCTTACCGCGAGCCTGGCAGAGGCTGACGTCATTTCCGCCACGAGTAGCGCGCTTGCGCCAAGGCGATGGTTGCGCTTTCACTCGGACGGCTGCGCGGCTGCCGATTGGCTGCGTCAGCACGTCGGCGGGAGGTCGCAGGACACTGTGCCGCCCCTCCCTTCGCGGCGCCTGCTCTGTAGAGCCAGCGGAGCCGGGTAGCTTGGCCAGGTGAGAGGAACCGCAGCGCGCCGCAGGACCGGACCGCTGACCCTGCAGCCGACCCGCGCCGTGACCCGCGACCCTAGACCCCGACTCCCTTTGGCTCAGCCCGCGCGCCCCAGGCCCGGCCCGGGCGGCGCGACGGGAGGATGAGCGGCGGGCGGCGGAAGGAGGAGCCGTCTCAGCCGCAGCTGGCCAACGGGGCCCTCAAAGTCTCCGTCTGGAGCAAGGTGCTGCGGAGCGACGCGGCCTGGGAGGACAAGGTACGGTGGAGCCCGAACAGGGCGCGGGCGCGAGGAGTCGGCTGGGACTCGGGGAACGGGAAGACTGGCCTGGGCCTGCCCTCGCCCCCGTTCCGGCGCTATCGAGTAGGGCAGTGGGGCGGGTGGCCCAAGAGTGTCAGAACAAACTTGGCGGGCACTGGGCGGACAGCTGGGCTTGGAGCTGCCCGAAGGGTGGCCTAAGGCTGAATCCCCCTAGTTATGCGGAATTGACGAGGAGCGGCGAGAGGCTTTGTCATCCGCGGGCAGGGCTTGTACCTGAACGGGGAAAGGGAGCTGAATTCAGTTCGGCCTCCGCCTTTTATGTGCACTAGGATTTTGAGTAAGTTGCTTGTCTCTTTCGAATTAACTAGCACAAACTAGTTAAATTAACTAGACTTCTACTGAGAATGCTTTCTACGTGCCAGGTGCTCTCCTTACGGAATCTAAGTCAGAATAGCTCTGAAGTGGGGGTACTGTGGTGCGTTAAAGCCTTTTACATATAGTGAGGCTCGCTAATCTTGAGCTGTTGTTGCCTGTTGAATGAAAAGGACCGAATACTTTGATAAGCATGAGTCAAGGGGGGAGACTGAGACCATCCACTGGGTGAGTGTGAGGTGTCGGGGTAGAGAAATGCCACCAAATACGTGCGAGAATTGGTTGGGACTTCAGGACGTTCTTACTCGTCCCATTCGGAGGATGCTTCGTAACTCTGCTCCATGATCTGGAAGGGGTAATCACAAACCGCTTGATTCCAGGTAGTTTAGAAAGAGTATTATATTTGCAGTCATTTCTTTGGTTTTCTGGGCTGCCGAAGTGGGATTTTCCTTCCTGAAGTTCCTGTAAGGGGGGATGGGAGGCACTTCCTGAAGGTGCCCTTGTTCTGCCCCCAGCCCTGCCCAACTCTTGCAAAACCTGCAGTCTCTAATCTGCTGTGTCATTTCTTTCTTTTCTTGTATAAGGACTGGTTTCTGGAATCTAGGGCAGATCGGAAACCTGAGTCTTCTGTGTTCTTCCATGAAACTTAAATATGCTGGCATTTTTGCTTCTAATCCATATGTGCGGCCGGTAGCACGATTACTATCACAATCATTTCATTATGGGTCATATTATATATGCAGCTCTAGAATTTTGATTTAGAGCATAGATTCTGGAAGTGATCGCTTAATGATGTCAAAATGTATCATTTCTACCACATTTTAGTATAAGAGGTGAAACAGGAAGCACATACCGTTGCCTTTGGGGGAAACAAATTTCCTGGATGTGTTTAGCAGAAAGGTTTAATATTCCCCCCTCTGGCTGTACTATGGCACCCATCCCAGATAATTCTTGCATTTTCTGTCTTTTCTACAGGATGAATTTTTAGATGTGATCTACTGGTTCCGACAGATCATTGCTGTGGTCCTGGGTGTCATTTGGGGAGTTTTACCATTACGAGGTTTCTTGGGAATAGCAGGGTAAGTCTTGGGTATCTTACATTTTCATGGTATCATTTCTTTTTAAATAGAAACTTTTTTTCCTGTTATAGGAAAGGCCATTGCTGCTCTGGAGCTGTGTGTGAGTGTGATGAATAGAGCAAAGCAGCGGCCCTACAATGGCACTCCTGGGTCTGGTGCACCACTCCTCAGGAGCATCTCAGGTCAGGCAGGTTACCTTCCTGCCTTCCTGAAGGCTGGGCCAGTCCATTCATTCATGGGTCTAAAGGGACCTCATGCAAGAGGCTATCACATTACTTGTTGGTGGCATGCCCTCTAGGTCTGCTGTGACCTTTGTTCCTGTGCAAGTTTGGGAAGTAGGAACTTCTGTATTTGACGACCATTTCCCTTGTGCCTGGCACTATGCTTAATGTGCTAAACCTTGGCTTTGGCAGAAGTTATTTCAGGTCCCTTCCTTTTGTTTTTTTGAGATAGGGCCCCACTTTGTCGCCCAGGTGGGAGCACAGTGGCACCATCACGGCTGACTGCAGCCTTGACCTCCTGGATTCAAATGATTTTCCTGCCTCAGCCTCCTAAGTAACTGGAACTACAGGCGTGAGCCACAACACCTGGCTGATTTTTAAAAATTTTGTAGAGACAAGGTTTCTCTACATTGCCCAGGCTGGTCTTTAACTCCTGGGCTCAAGTGATCCTCCTTCCTCGGCCTCTCAAAGTGTTGGGATTACAGGCATGAGTCAAAATGTCTGGCATAGGTCCCTTTTTTTTTTTTTTTTTGAGACGGAGTCTTGCTCTGGTGCCGAGGCAGGAGTGCACTGGCATGATCTCGGCTCACTGCAACTTCCACCTCTCAGGTTCAAGCAATTCTTCTGCCTCAGACTCCCAAGTAGCTGGGACTACAGGTGCCCACCAACATGCCCGGCTTATTTTTTGTATTTTTAGTATAGACGGTTTCGCCATGTTGGCTGGGCTGGTCCTGAACTCCTGACCTCAGGTGATCCGCCTACCTTGGCCTCCCAAAGTGCTGGGATTACAGGCGTGAGCCACCGTGCCTAGCTCATTGCTGTTCCTAGCCCCGTAATTGATGGTGAGCTGAGGGCAGGAACAGTCATCTTCACATCTGCATCCTGAGGCAGTAACAAGACAGTGAATA